TTTATCTTTCTCTGGAGGATGTGCTGTATGATATACAGAGGGAAGTAATTTTATATCTACTATTTTATCTAAGGTGCACAGTTTATATTTTATTAATTTTTTTTTGCTGAAGACTGGCTGACTGTTATTTAAATTTCTATAAATCAAGGAAAAATATTCTATCAAAAAACAACTTGTTTTTTTCTTTAAATAGTTTAAAGCTGTTGGTGTATATGGATATCTTTTACTTTTTGAAAAGGCATTGGCAAATGATTCATTTTGTGAGAATCTATTATAAATGCTTCCTGTATAATTGATTCTGCAGAAGAAAGCCTATGTGTCTAGGCTCTTATTCTACTATGTACATTTTCAACAAAGTAATCATTAAAATTGACTAATGAATTTTCCAATAATTTGGCAAAAGGGTGATTATTATTTTTCCAGTAAAAATAATCTGATAGGAAAGCTAATGGAAGTTTTTTATAATTTCTTCTCTTCCATCTTAGTAAAAAAGTCCAGATTCTCTATTTGAAAAGGTACAATTATCAGGAATTATATTTAACATTTCATCAAAAAATCCTTCTAATTTTGATTCACTTTCCTCAATTAATTGGCAAAATTTTATTGGATTCAATTCAATATCTGCATTATATTTACGTTGATTATTATATACCTTGGTCAATAATTCAATTTTATTCAAAAAGGACAGTTCATCTATAATTAAAATTTAAATTAGTATCTTATAACCCTTAGAAATCTTTGTAAAAGAACAAATAGCTTTAACTTTTTCTTGAATCATTTTGAACTGTTAAACAAATATCAGCAGTTTCAATTAGACTTTCAATTTGTTTTTGATTATTTTCAATTGTTAATTCTATATTACTGATTTTTTGAACCAACAGCTTAAAATCTTCTTTAGATAGAAGAACTCCTTCTTCAGTAATATTAATGTTAATGCCTATTAGAGAAGGATTGTTGTTCACATTTTCCATTTCACTATTGTCTTCATTATAACCTTTTGCTTCTAATCTTCTACATTTAGTTGGTTCAGCATACTTCATATAATGGATAAAACAAAGTTGATCAATTTTTAAAAAATTAAAATCTTCCAATTTGGATGTTCATGTAATTTTTTCAATGCAATATCAGTAATTCTTCTAAATTTATCAGCATCAACAGTACTTTTACAATCAATGATTACACAAGGACCTTTATTTTGAGTATTTTTAGGCATTATTATATATGATTTAATTAAATAAAGTATGTTTGACTTTTTATTTTGTAGTTTGGATTTTTATTTTGAAAATTTACAAAGTTTTGTCTTTTTTTATATTTTTTTTTTTACTAATACAATAGCAATGAATAAGTTATCTTCTATTTTAGCATTCATCCAAAGATTTAAATTTGTA